TAAGAAAGCCCATTTCAGCAGCTTGTATCAAGGTTCGACGCTCTTCAGTCATGGTCCAAGACACAAAGGTAAGCAGTGGGATAAAGATCAACCTGAACACTGAGAGCTTAGATTTCAGATTGCGATTTGCATTAGTCACAACAAATCGGGCCAGTTTACGCAAAACGCCACTGATTACTCCAATTCGCCGGTCGATCTCTTCCTCAAGTTTTCAATCACAAGTAAATACGACTCCTAGGAACTTGATCTTCTCCACCTGATGACTGCCTCTCCGTAAATCTGAAGCGAGCAATGAGCAGGAGAACGAGAAAGCACCAGGCTTTTCCATTTAGATGCTCTTAAACGAATCCCGGTCACGTCGAACTCGGCGGTGAACCTTTCTAGAGAGCACTGAATATCAGTCTCAAAAGATGCTAATAAAACAAGGTCGTCCGCAAGCACCAACCATGTCCTCTTCACATCTTCTACACCGATACACTCATCGCCATGGCTGCTCCCGACTATTCTATCCATGTACAACACAAACACCAGAGGGGACAGGACGCACCCTCGGAAGAGATCATTGCCAACGCTGAGAGGTTTCCACTTAACGTCATTTACTCTGACGCAGTATCTCCTATCAGAATATAGGGATTGGATGGCTCTTAGCATCTGGCCATCTATCCCGCATGATCACAGGCATAACCACAGACTGTTGCGTGGGATCCGGAAATAGGCTTTTTCTAGGCTAACAAAACACATGTACACTGGACGGGTGTACTACCACGATATCTCAACAATTTGGCATGAATATATGGTCAGAGGTGCTTCGACCGGGTCGGAAGCCACACTGCTCTACTTGGATCTTGAGGTCAACTATTGCGCGGCACCTCCTTTCTAGCACCTTGAGTAGACTTTATCCGGGAGGCTCAATAACATGATGCTACTATAAATGAAGCACTCCCTGTGGTCTCCCTTCTTGAATAAGGGTATAAATGCTGCCGTTCTCCGATTCTTTGATGTCCTTCACGTAGTCATCGCAGTTTGACAGACACGCGAAAGCGAGCACATGCGTTGTTCACCCAATGCCTTGAGAATTTCAGGGCGGATTTCATCAACTCCGGCCGATTTTCCATTTTTCCAGCTTTTCACAGATTGTGTAATTGCAATACCCGTTCATTGTTCCCATGCAGGCGAGTCTTCCTGCAGCTGCTCAAGGTTAAGGAGTTCCTGAAAGTACTCCCTCCATCGCCGAAGAATGTCATCACCCTTGGTAAGAGGGTATCCATAGCGGTCCTTCAAAAGTCTTAGACTGTCCATCTTTTTATCTCGAAGCCGGCGGATGGTCTGCCAGCGTACCTTGTTTTCCTTGAGGAAATTCAACTCCAACACCTCACGGAACTTCTAACAGGAATCAGTTTGTCCTTCGCCACTGCTTTTGCAGCCGATTGCTTGCCTCGACATATCACACGCGAGTAGAAAGCTCTTTGTCTCCAAGCCATTTCTTGAATGCAGCCTTCTCTTAAACTGCCACTTGTACCCCCGTGTCCACTAGGAAGTTCATATCTGAATTTTAGGCGGCAGGCCAACCCGTTTATATCCGGATCATTCGGCGGCAGGCTTGAGTATGCCACTCTTATAAAGAGCTGCCACTCGTTTTCAACATCTGTGATCATCACCGGGATCTGTTCAAACCGTACCGCGATGCAGTTTACGAATTTCGCTCTCGTGTCCACCGAAGTCAATGTTTCCCATTTGATTCTCCGGTTGCTTCTGCCACCGGATCTTCGTATGGTACTCCATTTCTTACAGCCCAGCGTGCCAACAAAAAGGTGTTGATCGGTTGATAACTCTGGGCCTCTCTTAACACGAACATCCATTACTGAGCGTCTTATGTAAGACGATACGATTATCATCGATCATCGACTTCTGTGCACAAGCTTCCCGGTACCAGGTGTACTGATGCACTTTTCGATGCTCGAAGGTGTTCATAATGGACAATCGGTTGTTTGCACAAAACCACAACAACTTCATGCCGTTATTGTTGAGGTCGCTAGGGTCTTTTTTTTCCAATCATGCCGTTCCACTTGTCAGCGTCTACTCCGACATGCGCATTAAAATCGCCCATGAGTATGAGGGACTCTGCATTCGGCACTTCGAACAGAGCACACTACACTTCCTCAAAGCAGGTATCATATTCTCACGCCAAATTAGCGTATAGACCCGTACCAAAGTCAACGCTTTAGCATGTTGTAGCTTCAGTCGAATGATTACAACTCTTCGACTGACAGGCTTCCAATCAATAATTCTAACGGCGAGGTTGGGTTCCACCAGAACGCCAACACCGGGCTGAGCGCAGTCGTGATATCGACGCCTGAGAACAATAGCTACCACCCGTTGAGGTTCAGGATTCCAGAGCCTTGGGGCTTTGTTGTCGAGAATCGAATAATGTGGAGTTGACACTTTATTGCCTCGTCGACTAACTTTCGTTCTTTCCCTATGAGTGAGCATATGTTCCAATTTCCGACTGTAAGCCCTCACTGGCGGTGTCATTCTCGTGGAGCTTTTCTGACGTGATGTAATAGCATCGCGCTGTCTGCCTCCTCCGTTCAGAATAGGTAGCGTCTCCATCGCTGACTAGTATCTTCGTTGTCGTTCCGTCGGTCTTCATCAGCCGTTGCTGTACTTCTACCCTCCCGGCTGGCGGAGGACGATGAGCAGGTTCTGATCGCTGACTTCTCGGAGTTTGCCTCAGTCCCCCCTTACTGCCTGAGCGGCCCTTGGAAATCTGGGTGACGACCGAGCCGGTATAATTTTCGATGGCGTCAATACCATGAGTGACAGGAGGTGAAATTTTACGGAGACTTCGCCACGGCTCTAACCCTCTTCCTTGCTCACCAGGGCTTGGGACCGGCAAAGGTGGAGTTCTGGGCATTCGGTTTGCAATATTTTAACAATTCATGAATTCTTGTTATTTCAAACTTTGGATTTGACAACATAACGCTAGCTTCCGAAGCTGCTGATTCAATACCCTTACAATGGTAAATATCATGACTGTGGAACATTGCTCGTAATTAAAGCTTTGCGATGATTCGACTTGTTTTATGCACACCATCATCCACTGAATTCAAGACCTTCTTAGAATTATGCTTATTAGTAAGTTTCACTATATTCTCTTCAAGCATTTGAAATTCAGTTCTTAAGCGAAAAGTTAAAATATTATTTCACGGTACTGGATGTAGGTTTTATACGAGTTTCGAAAACAGATTTGTTGAGGTTACTACATCGATCATAAAAACAATTCCATAAAGTTTATTCACATTTCATACTTGATTCTTGAAGCAGAACTTTGAACAACGCAATGCAAACTAATTTGCTGTAAAGGTAATATCCGATGAACACAACTTATGTTATTTCTGCCACTGTCATGCCTGAACCCTTTGTCTCTCCTTGCTAACATTTCTGTATTTTAATGTTAGTCGTCATTTACGGCAACTTTCTTGCCTTTAGACCCAGTGGTCCAGCGATGACCTTAACTTTCAGTGCTATGAGTCAGAATGACCCTATTGATGAAAGGTAGCTATGTGACAATAAACAGTTCGCAGTTATTGAAAATTGCGACTTACTTCAGAGATTCGCTCATGAATCATTCCATCAGATCGCAGGGCAGCTAGAACAGCGAAAGCGCCGTCAAACTGGACAACGCAATCTGGATCACAGGAATGGTTCAAAGCAGACAACCTAGGGATCGCGATGTTAATAAATTAGCACGTCACTGGATCAATCGAATACTGGAGATACAAGCCGGAACCTATGGCGTTCATGTCATCGTTCAGAATGCTGAAAGTGTTCACCACGATCTGAAACAGACTTCTAGAAATATAATGTCAGAATGAGGATAAACTGAGTCACTTTTGAAAAGTTTTATGCTCCTCCGCGGAAATCAAAAGCTTTAGACGCTTCAGAACAAATACTTGGCTGCCTACTGAATAATCCCTTGCTTTCTTTAGGTATTCTGTACAAGCAAGCTTGCAAAGCTGCAGCATAGACAGAGAAAGCCGCAAAGGCAAGGACTTAAAAATCATTCAGACAAAAACTGCACCAAGATTACCAACTGGGAGCTTTCAACATGCTGTCTGGTGTCTGCATGGACAAAGAACATGTATTACGTGAGCTACCAAAAGTTCTGATGGAAACACTCACTAAAGAAGAAAATACCATCAATAGATGTCAGGAGTGAAAAGATAACTTTGAAGAACTCCCAGATCAAGTCCTTGTACATCTTAAAGACATTCCCTCAATGCATATGGATATAGAATGTGATCCTATAATTAATGCACTTTTAGCAGGGATTAAAGCACTTAGAAGTGGCAAGATTGCCAAAAACAATAAATGTAACTGTCAAGCATTTTCTAGCCGACCGACTTTCAGATTGTGATGAGTCCACGAAAAACACCGAAACAACGGTAGATAGGAGTAGCTATCCCTGCACTGAAAAAAGGAGTCAGACAGACTGCAGCAACCACAGAAGTATATCTCTGTTCAACCTCCCAGAAAAAGTGTACTAAAACTGGTTTAAATTAGCCTATTCAGAAATGGGATGGACAATGACTCTTTTATCCCTGCAGCAACACAATGGGTCAGAACTTTATTTTCTACCAGCTCTGTCATAAATGGTATAACTATTTGAATGAGGTTACTGTTTGCCTCATATAATTGAAAGACATTTATGACAGGTCGTGCTTTCAAAGCTGTGGAGATTGTTGCAGTTTTACTTCGTCGATGACTAGTTACTTATATAACAGATCATAAGGCTGTGTCCGGATCAACTGCAGAAAGTGCATTATTTTTTAAGTGAATGTTCGTTTGCGCGAAGGGCTGTCACATGTTTTTGTTTTTGCCTGTTCATAAATTTACGGTTTGAACCCATACGCTAGTTGAGAATACCACAACTGGGAATTGAAAACGCCAAATTTGGCAATCTTCTACTAAGTTAACTGTTGGTTGCAGATGAACGCTCGTTCGCTTCCTCTCATCTTGCCCTCTAATGTGCATCTGATAGGATTAATGTCACACGGGGATACTATGTTGGAAACAAGCCTAACCAAAATCCAGGCTTTGTGGCCCTTATCTCTCCAAAACAGCCTGGACTGCCATACTATGCAAAACTGCCATGTGATGATCAAAGGAAGCAGGTAAAGATTTTTAAATATTTCGGAATAACATTCACGAGTGAAGGGAGAAAGAACTTCGAAAGAGACACATGAACTGGTCAAAATGGTGTAGTAATGCAAGCGCTAAATCGGTGGGTGGTGATGAAAAAAGATTAACTTGCCGACTAAACACTGACAGATCCTTTATTGATGAGTGCTGCTTAGCCACTGAACAAGAAACACCAACGTTTTCGGGCAAGGAACAAGGGAAGCACTGAGATGGTCTCACCTTACCGAAAATGTTCAACAATGTGATGTCGTCGGGCATTCGATCTTCGCCGATGTATTCTTTCAACGCTGAGCAAGAGTCGTGGAAGTTTTCATTCCGCTCAGGATCAGCCACGATTTCCTTATCGTCTAAAATGCGACCAGTCACAGTCTAACCATGTCACCGATTCAGACGTATCGCTATACGAGTCATGAGATCTGCAAGGGTTCGTCCCGGAGGTTCTGTACTCGATACCATGGAACATTCCCCTTCAGAGTTGTCAGTCGAAAATGCCTAAAATGTTAAATACTCGAAACCAATAATTTTTCACTTTTCTAGCAGGCGTTCTCGAGAGTGTCTGCTGAAAAATCATGCACTGCAATACACCTGATGCCAGTAATATCTTACATCGACTTCATGTCCGACTTTACTTCAAAAGATTCGTCTACGTCTTACTTCTAAAAACTAAACAATAGGTTCGTATGCTAGATATCATAAATGACAGAAATCTCCCATGTTAAACCAACGGAGGCCATTCATGTCACAGTTCATGCTACTGAATGTTCAGCCTGATCATCCACGATAAGCTTAGAAACAAAAGGTTGCAGAAATAAATTTCCCAGAAACAATGAATCTGAAACACAGAAATGAGTGACTGCCCTATTCAAACATCGTAAATCGCTGGTTATCTCAGAAATGATGAATACTGTCCTATATGAGAGAAATAAAGGTAACTGGTGTGGGGAAAATTATACGAAATCGAGGTTGCACCCTGTGCTGATTATCATACTGGATAATCAGCTATCAGATTAGTCAAGGCGAAGTGAAGTCACAAGGGGCGCTCGCATGGGATAACATGGCGAACACCTCGTTCAGTTTGTCCATGACAACACTAGAATACCGTACTGTCTCTATTATTCGCCAGTCACCGATTTACTACTCGTTTCTCAACTGGGTGCACCATTCTACAACAAAGAGGCAATATGCATTTTCAAAGACATACGAAAGCTGACAAAATTCATCGCTTAAAGTAAACTATCAAGATTAAAATGAAACCTCTACGAGAAGGTAAAGGAGATAAAATTCAATGAAAATAGCATATGCAAACTAACCTGCTTGAAAATGACTCGAGCGATCAAACGAACAACTTCCGACGGCTCATGTGGATGCACTCGAGCAATGCACGCACATTCATCTTTATGATCTGACCAAGCAGATTTCTTAAATTGCCCAAAATTAACACGACGCAATAAAAAAACAGGCTATTAACGCAAAACAACTCTCCAGTGGCAACGATTATATTATCCAGTGATTATCGCATGCGCATTAACTCATGAGCACAAATGTACAAGAGTACAGTGGCTTTCTGCACGCTTGGTGAATGCGGAAAAAGCGCAAATGCTTCATAACAGCAATGAACACGGAATTCTCACTTGTATCTTGCAATGCCACAAGCAGAGAAATAAAAGGCTGGTCAATGACTTTTGCGCGAATAACTGCGATAGCCGTTTCCGTATGCACTGGTACACATCAGTGAACGGACCTCGAATTTACGACGTGTAACGGGACAATGAGCGAAGAACAGAACAGCATGACGCCGACGGTTCATAGAGTTTAAGCGAAGTTGGTTCAGCGCAATGCAGTGCTACGGCCAGGAGTTGGAATTCATACAATTCAAAATGTTCGTCTGCCCAAACTATTTTGACTTATCCCTTCAAAAGACATATCATTATCGCTCTCTATGACACTGAGGAAAGGAGAGGCATGGAAACATGCTTATAGCCATATCGGCATGCGAGGAGAAAAATTACTCTGAGCGCAATGACGAACAATGCTTAACATGAACATAAAACACCATTTGTGTTTGTTCAGATCATCACCATCGTTAGCAAGAACAGAAAGTCTCCGGTTCATGATATCCGCTGCATCCATAGCATTTCAACACTTCGGCTATAAAGAACAGGTTATTTCATCGTGTAATAAAATATTCATTTCCGAAAGCAAATCTGTCTTTATCTTCGTCTTTTACATGGCATACTGGCTTCCTGGCTGACATCTGCAATATTTCGGCTGCCATGCATGAAGCCCATGGGCGGGAGAAAACAGTGGAATGCTCAACCAGTTTGCTTAGCAGGACCAACTTTTTTTCTTAATCTCCACATTTGCCAACGTTACCTGTGCCTGGAAGAAAATAAAGTCATTTCTTGAAGTCCGCCAGCTATCACGCATTATGCGTCGAAGCCAACGCTGCTGTGTGCAGTTCAACCGCCGTTTTTGCTCGTTCGTTAGAACAACCATCTCCATGTCGTAAATAACCCCGGCCTGACAATGGCAAGGTAAGACGGATTTTCGTACGAAGAGTAACTCCTTTTTGGCCCAAATATTGGACAGATTTCCAATAGCATTCAAATCTAAGGTGACCTCCATCTAGCTTTGGCTGGATGGAGTCACCGCAAAAAATGATGAAGCCGAGCTACTTAAACTGGTCAACCTCTTGAAGGGCTTCACGCTCCTCTTCCACCTATATATCAGATGTGCTGGATGGGTTTCTCATAACGTTTGACCTCCGAGGATAAGGGAAGAAGCCGGCTATCGCAGTTGTGTTGCACACGAAAGCTGCCGCATGACAGGGGCCACTTCCCATACTAGCCACCAGGAACACCATTACTTCTGGATCAGACAACAGCAATGAAAAAATATTGTTCAACCATTGTTGGCCATATTATCTATATAATTATATAACACTCTATACTTCACTGGCGTTGTTATCTAATAGCAAAAAACTACATCACTTTCAAAATTCATAACAACTTCCACTTTGTCGCTCACAGATAGACGATAGCATCTCAATCCTGTGATACGCAACTGACAGCGTTGCGCAAGGCTGACAAAAGAATAGATAAAACGACAATTTAACGGCTGCAAACAATAGGCAAAAAACATTAGCAGAAAAACTAGTCTTTAACCAGTTTGCATAGACAAAATAGTGCTCAACAAAATCATCATTAGTCAGAATCGACTATGCGGCCATTAAAACATACATAACATTTTTAAAAAACGAAATAAAAAACAATATGCGCATATCTCCACCAGACAAAGATCCACCTTTTAAAACACCAACCCCATAATCCTAGATACCTAAAAAGCCATATATGCAGGCCATTGTTCCGTGGTGTTTCAACACCTGAAGTGCACAGACACACTGTCCATTGCCTTTTCGGCCGTAATAGTGCCCAGCAAAAAAGGATAAAAGAACAGGTACTCATTAAATGCTGCAAACATATAAACACTGCTATGCAAAACAGACTAAAAATCCCACTGCAATAAATTTAATATCACTACTATCAAAAAGAAAAATAGTACTTGACTTCTTAATGCGGAAAACAGTGATTCAAAATGTTTCAGAATTACAGAGTTGCATCCGATACGTTACTTTCTCAGATCAATGCGTTTTATGCGAACAATTACGACTTTAAGAATTTATGAAACTATTTTATGCGTTTTTCCTACTTAACATTCCAAAACGTTACCAAAATCATTATAAGCAAGTTTAACAATAAAGGTACATAAAACAATAACACTGATAATAGTACGAATTGTTTCTGCAAATGACAGTGCGGATTGGAAATTTACAAACGGGAAAACAACGCACAACGAATTTATTTACACACCTTCTCTACCGATGCTTTAGACTAAACTTGGTCCGTCTTAAGAGTTAAAGTGAGTTTTGCACAGCATCATTTTCATACGGGTTCAGGTGACCCGTAAGACAGATGATGCCGCGTTTACCGCTGGCCCTAAGCGACTGTGTGATACTCCCCTCCATGTATCACTCACATCTGTACCAAAGTCACGACTGACGCAGCTGGTTGCGCGGATCAGTAGCGATTCCTAGACATTACGATAAAACTGTTTTGCTTACAGGAAGTCTTTCATCTTCTCTCGAGATATGGTCTGTGATGGATCACAGCACGTTGTACCATACCGGAAGTTTTCTCATACCGCGTTGACAATCTTGGGGTACTTTGCTTGTCTTCGTCCACTGCTTACTTGCTTGAAACCTTTTTGTCTTTTATCAACGTTCTTTCATTTGAAGAAATTTTTCTTGTGCTCTGTCTCCTTTGTCTCAAAGGTGTCGCCCGTTTCGCTGACATACCTTGCAGCACTTAGTAGAGAAGCTAGTACACCATACATTACTTATGTTCCTTCTATCTTCACATGGCTGAGACGACTGCAAAATGTTGTACAGAGTTTGAACAGAATGTGTGAATACAGCTCACCTATTCACTCAGTTTAAGAACGTACAGTAAGGTAAACCAGATTTTTTCAGTCAGGTGAGCAGCGAGAATCGTACTGTTCTGATAAGTTTACTAACCTTCATTTAGTATATTCACCGGGTAACCGCCCTTTTGCTGAATAAACCTGACGCGATTTAGTTTTTGGCGAAAATCACTTTCCGTTACACAAATCTTCCGTCCTCTTTGGAGAAGTGCACTGACAACACTTTTCCTAACTCTTTTTGGGCCGTATGTAAGGCAGTGCAGATATCAATCCGTAACTGTCTTCCTCCGATATACTGCTGTCGAACACTTCTGATGCTGGTGTTCACTAGCACATCCAGGAGCGGTACACTTCGATTCTCCTCCTCCATAGCGAACAAGATGTCGCAGAGAAAATGATTGCTCTAATGTTTTAAACGGTGTCTCTATCCCATTTCTGCGCTGAAGATGAAGAAAAGATGTCATAAACATACTGTTAGAAAAATGTTGGATATATCTTCTTGCTCCCCTTAATGAATGCCAGTTGTTTCAAATGTTCCATAAACAAATCAATCAGAGCAAAGGATAATGGTGATACCATTGGATTCGCTTATACTGGGGACATAAGTTACCGTAAAATTCGAAACAATTTAATCCAATAAGACTTAACCCTGAGTAATTTAAGGATGCAACTTATCGAGAAAGTTGCTCCATTTTTCAGGACAGCGAATGCGAATAAATTTTTGTGTTGTCTTCCCTTTCGTAATGTTCGAAAAACGTGTAGTATAAAACAATGCCCTCGGATAAGTGAAATGCACGATTACCTGACAATTCGTGTCGCAGTAAAACGCAAAGCGGCATTGAGAACAACGATGTAAATTCTCCTTCCTTAAAATACAGTGTTAACAGATATCGATACCGATATCGCTGCATATACTTTTTTAGGCAGTACGAGCAATATTCATGAGTACATGATGCTGAAAGAACGTACACATATGGCCACTCGCGCTTCAGTATCATCAGGAAAGACGAACGTGAAGAACGCGAATGTACAAAATCGATAACCTAGAAATTTACGTTTATAAAAACGTGCAACGAGCAACATCAGTGACATATTCCACAACACCTAACCTCCTTCGATAATGTAAACAAACATCACCATAAGAACATATTACAGTACATATACAGCATAGTGCATCCTTCACTTTTGAATTTATCATCAAGACGAAAAAAGATAAATTCGTCGTTAAACTTCAACCTACGATTACGTCTTCTAAACCCTCCTTTTTGCTTCATTTGAAATTTGTTGCATCAAATGTTTCCAAAATACAACGAGCACCTAACTCCTCCTCTGATGAAATACATCACGTGTAAACAACACACTACAGATTAATAAAAAAATGTAGCAATTACTTTCTGTTTCGCGCGAGAGCCCTTTCCCCGTTGCAATGTTTAGGTGAAGAAATGCAGGAGTCATCAGACTACGAAAGAGGCAACCGTTTTTCCTGTTGCTTTAAAATCTTATTTTCTGACGGACCGTCTCGTGTCTTTCTGATGCTGTGGGCAGACACAGTTGTGCGGAGTTCAGCACCCAGACAGATGCTATGATGTTCTGTGTCATCATTACCAGAATTAACTACATACCATGACTAAAGGTTGGTTAAGATTCGTGTTCGGTTGTACGCCGCAGTGAGCGGTCGGGTAGTGCTCTCGCTCCGCTACGTGACTCGGTTATGCGACGCCTGCGAGATGAGTGGAGCACATTCACAAATCCGAACGTTTAATATCAAGAAATATGACTCCAGCAGATCAACATCAGCAAAAAGATCGGTATCGCCTGATGG